GGGGTCATCAAGGAGGTCGTGGTCAAGGGTGTGCAGGGCCTCCGCATTGCCAAGGCAAGCACCCGTCTGAGGCAAGCAGTGGCTGACTACAATCAGAACAAGGGCCCAAACCCTGGCCGTGCTGGTAAGGAACTCATATGACTTGCCCATTATGCATGATGAATAACTTAAGGGTTAATGCAATAACTACTAGTGGACTAATTTACACATGGACCCCCCCATCATAGGCTCTACTACGGAATTCTTACAGGAGACACACTAATCTGTAATGTATGCAGATGGTGCCCAGCTGGCCAGGATCAGGGCCGCATTGCAGGAAGTCGTACGGGTGACACCAGCGGCTCTCACGTCTAGACTCCAGCGCCTTACCGGTGCAGGGAAGGCCGCCAAGACGCATACTTACTTTCTGCTCGCCGGTCCCATCGGCTCGTACGTCATCACATCTGCACGATTTCCTGAGCCTGTACAGGAGGCATACCTGCGGCTCCTTCAGGCATGTAGCGACTTGTGGCAGAAGGTGTTAGAAGGGTGAGACCACGGGCAGGTTTAAATTTGTGTAGATGTATCCCAAAAATGTGGTGTGCATACAGCGATCCACCAGACCCATGCTTAGTATCCTCTGTCTGCTTTCTTTTCCTGTTTTGTCATGCTGCTTGCGCAGGGGTGAGGTGGATGCCCTTGAGCAGCGCGTCGTGGAGGCTGTATGCCTAGTCGAGCTTCGTCTGTCCGTGAATGAGATGGACATAAAGCTGCACAACCTATTGCACCTGGTGGATTCCATAAAGAACATCGGTAAGGAATGTGCCGCATTGTGTAGGCCATGCCGTGTTCAATGCACTGAGACATGTGATGTGCTGTGTGTGTCAAGACGTGGGATACCGCACACACACTGTACTGCACTCCTGGCACTCCTGCCTCCCTAGGGCCCCTTTTTGCGGCATCCATGTTCCCGCCGGAGAGTATCTGGGGCCAGCTAGGCCGTTGGGCGCACAGCAAGGTGCACATGGAGCCCTGCATGTTCTTCAACGCGTTGGACAAGGAGGTTGTGCTGCATCTGAGGGCGTCAACTGCAGCACCCCCAGCAGCTGACAGCGAAACAGCCCCTGTGCCGCTAACAATGTGGCAGCCTGAGGACTTTCTTCTCCGCCGTGAGCACCCAGCTTACCTGGGCCGGGTGGAGCGGATCGACACACTCAGTGGCTCGCAACTGGCCTCATTACGGAGGTTTTACAACCTGTACAGGCCGGCAGCTGCTGAATGGCCAGCCAACTGTGTGGGGGATCCTCAG